CGCAAAGGCCACGCCGTGCTCCACCTCGCCGTCGTCGCTGTAGAGCCGTGTGTCGAGCAAAAAGGGACGCAGGCTCTGCTTGAAGGCCAGGTCCTTCCGCACTATGAGGATGCTTGGGAAGGATACCGCGTGCGCGGCCTCATACTCGGAGAGAATGCGGAGCAACAGGAACATGTTGTCGAACTGCGTCCGCCGGCTCGAGTGAGTGAAGCTCACGATGCGGCCGGTCACGAAGGCGGCCGCGAAGCGCTCGCCGACGGCGCGCTGCTGTTCGTACACAGTGAGGAAGACGCTCGAGTTGGTCGGCTGCACAATGTGCCGCTCGATGCTGAGGGCGCACTCCACGCCATCGGCCTCCGAGCCGCGGATGTCGCCCCGGAGGAGGACCGCAAGCGCCGCGCCCACCGGCGGCCGTGTATGCACGGTGGTGTACTCACGCCCTTCACAACTGCAGTTGCCCGTGCTAAATCCGGGCTGCCCGCAGTCAACCGTGCTGGAACCGCAGCGAAACGTCCCTCGACATTTTGCGACCCACATGCTGTTGCTCCCAGGTTCACATCCGAAGCTGCGCCCGAGCACGCATGGCGCAATGCTCGCCTGTCTGACCAGCTCACACTGAGAGGCGCGACTGCGCAGGTGCGGCGCACGTGGCCAGCTGGCCGTGGAGCGGCCGGCGCAGCTACAGTTGTAGCTCGATGCACCTGGAGGGTAGCCGCACCAGATGCTGGTCTCGTCCTTGCCGCTGCAGCCGCGCAGCAGGAACCGGCCTCGGCATCCGCGAACCCACACGGACGGCGAGCGCTCGGCGGCAGCGGCATTTGTCCAGCCGAAGCTCCCCCCGCGGAAGACCGCGCGTAGCGACGCCTTGTCGATCGAGATGGGCGCGCCTGAAGCTCGCCCACCTACTGCCCCTGAGAGTTGGTTACGAGTGGGATCAGCTCCCCCCCTTGGGATCAAAGCTTCCACGACCTCGCACCCAACATCTCAGGCGGGATCAGAAGGGGACTCCACACCGGACACCGCCCGGGCACAGCCCCCCTACCCGTCGGATCGCACAGGGCCCCCTAGGAGCAGCCCACACACAATCTCGCATCGGCAGATTGCGCCTGAGTCAGGCAGACAGCAGACAAGGAGAGGAGAGAGGAGAGAGAGAGAGAGAGGAGAGAGGAGAGGGTGAGGGTGTGTGCACACGTGTGGAGCAGGGAGGGTGTCTGTGGTGGGCTATAGTCATACTACGTGGTTAAAACCACGCGCCCCTCAGGAGCTAAGGTAGAGTGGAGCGTCCAAGACGCCTCGGTGCCTCCCACCAGCGTGAAGACCATCCGGATCTGCCTGCCTCGCCTCCGGCGATACAGTCCCCGCGATGGCCCACGGTCCTCCGTCGCCTGGTTGACCCCCTGCCTCCCGGTTGAACCCCCAGTCCTTGTAGTCCATCATGAAATAAACTCAAAGATCCACCACAGCCACCACCCTCCGCCTCCACCGTCGAGCCGCGATCGCTGCCGCCCGCGACGCCGCCCGCCGCGTCAGATTGCCGCGACGCGCGCCTCGAGTCGAGTCGGAGAGCCGCGCCGCACCAGCAGCAGCATCAGCACCAGCAGCACCAGCACCACCAGCACCAGCAGCACCAGAGAGAGGCGCAACCTGCCCGACGCCGCCGTGTCAGATGCTCCCGACGCGCGTCTCGAGCCGAGTCGCAGACCCGCGCCGCGCCAGCAGCAGCATATGCACCAGCAGCAGCAACATCACCACCAGCAGCAGCACCAGAGAGAGACAGTGCAGTGTGACAGCAGCGCAGAAGCGCTCGCAGAGCGGCGCGCAGCGCCGCGCACGCCACGCCGCGGGCGGTCGGACGAGCGCAGCGTACGTCGGCCGCGAGCCGCGTCGCCAGCCGTCTCGCGAGAGAGCGGCGCCGCCGCGTGCGCGCAGCAGCCGCCGCGGCAGAGGCGAGCCGCGGCGACGGCCGCACAACCGATAACTGCCATTGGCGGTTCACACACACACACACACACTTGGGGGGGGGCAGAGTCGACCACAATTGTCGCGCGCCGGAGACGACTCGACGCCGCTGAGATCGGAGATCAAGCTCTGACAGGTCGCACGTCGCTCCTTTGACGCCGACGTGACTCACCCGTGCAGATCACATCAGGACACGGTCTCGACACGCTCGGTACGACGCCTGCGACCCGTCTTGGGTCAGGTGGCACGACGCTCATCCGCCTACCAGCGCTGGCCGCTGCCGTGCAGGCTGCCACGACAAGGTCGAGCACGCTTCTATACGCTCGCCCAGCCTTCCTTTCCATCCCATTAGGCAGCCTGGGAACGGTGGCGGTCAGAGGCAAAGCCTGCGAGGGGTGGTGGAACCACATGTCACGGCTACCGCCGGCTCGACCCCACGATAGCCTCCGGAGGCTGACTTTGAGGCACAATCATCGGACGACGTCGGCGAGTTGAGTCGCGCTCGCGGTAGCCAGATGACCTCTCATACTAGTATCATCGGCCATGGCCGCAGGAAGCGCGGGGGATTCCGCTGGGAGCAACACGGAGCTCCGTTGGACGCGTTTTCAAGATTAGCGTGTCAGAGTGAACTGGAACTAGAGCCTTTGGCCTCACTGAAGGCGACGTGCCCGCTGTAGTTAAAGAGAGCGCCTTCGTGGTTAATAATCTTTTTCACTACAATCTGAGAAGAAATACCCGCAAAGGGGAGGGGGGGGCAAGAGTGTGTGTTTGGTTCACAAGAGTGGGTGAGTCGGAGCGCAACACCGCCTTTCTTTTTCCCCACCGGCTGCGCGCTGCGCGCTGGACTAAGGGGAGGCAGAAGGCAAACTTGATGGTCGTGGCAAAGTTGAGCTTCCTCGCGGTGCCCAAGATGGAGTGGCCGATCCCCGTGACGGGCCATGCGTCAATAATGATGAGCGCTGGAAACCGCAGCTCGAAAGCCCGGCGCCGCCAGCATCGCCTCCAGCGTCCGATTGGTCACCGCGTACTTGCACTGCCTCGCGAAGCATGCGGCGTCGTTGATCGAACAGCGAGGTTTCCCGCCGTTTGCCGCGACGCACACGACGGGGCTCCTGCTTCTGTAGTGGGCCAGCAACGCGGGGTGTGGGCTTGGATTGTCATAGAGCTGCGCCTCCGGGCTCGTGCAGTCGCCCAGCGCAGCCGGGCAGCAATTCTCGGGGGACGGGCAGCACGCCCAGCCAGACGACGGGTCCTCGGCAAAGTCGGCCCTCGTCTGGCAGAGGCCCGCCTCCATCTGCCACCGATTGCGCGGAAGAAAGTTGTAGAGCGGGTTGGGGCTGGCGAGGATGCGGTCCGGGTTGGAGTCGAACGCACCGCGCACGAGGTATCGCACGATAGACTCTCGCGGCTCCAAGAGCGACCTCGCACGGCTCGTGAGCACCTCGTGGAGCGCGTTCCAGTTACTGCGGTTTGCCACGACCACTCGCCACATTGGAAGGAACGAGCGGCTCACGAGGTGGAGCGTGTCGGGCGTGCGCTTGTTCCTCGCAAGCGCCTCCTTCGAGACCCGTTGGGTGGAAAACAGCCGCCACTCGCCGTTGATCTCGCGCCACGCAAAGGCCACGCCGTGCTCCACCTCGCCGTCGTCGCTGTAGAGCCGTGTGTCGAGCAAAAAGGGACGCAGGCTCTGCTTGAAGGCCAGGTCCTTCCGCACTATGAGGATGCTTGGGAAGGATACCGCGTGCGCGGCCTCATACTCGGAGAGAATGCGGAGCAACAGGAACATGTTGTCGAACTGCGTCCGCCGGCTCGAGTGAGTGAAGCTCACGATGCGGCCGGTCACGAAGGCGGCCGCGAAGCGCTCGCCGACGGCGCGCTGCTGTTCGTACACAGTGAGGAAGACGCTCGAGTTGGTCGGCTGCACAATGTGCCGCTCGATGCTGAGGGCGCACTCCACGCCATCGGCCTCCGAGCCGCGGATGTCGCCCCGGAGGAGGACCGCAAGCGCCGCGCCCACCGGCGGCCGTGTATGCACGGTGGTGTACTCACGCCCTTCACAACTGCAGTTGCCCGTGCTAAATCCGGGCTGCCCGCAGTCAACCGTGCTGGAACCGCAGCGAAACGTCCCTCGACATTTTGCGACCCACATGCTGTTGCTCCCAGGTTCACATCCGAAGCTGCGCCCGAGCACGCATGGCGCAATGCTCGCCTGTCTGACCAGCCCACACTGAGAGGCGCGACTGCGCAGGTGCGGCGCACGTGGCCAGCTGGCCGTGGAGCGGCCGGCGCAGCTACAGTTGTAGCTCGATGCACCTGGAGGGTAGCCGCACCAGATGCTGGTCTCGTCCTTGCCGCTGCAGCCGCGCAGCAGGAACCGGCCTCGGCATCCGCGAACCCACACGGACGGCGAGCGCTCGGCGGCAGCGGCATTTGTGCAGCCGAAGCTCCGCCCGAGGATGCACGGCGCGTAGCTTGACTGCTCAGCTATGCTGATGCTGCAGCGCCCCGACCCATTGCCCGCGCCCGCCGCAAGTGTCATGACAGCACCCGCGAAGAGAAGGCCTGGCATGCAAATCCTCTTCCACCAGGGTTCCAACTTTTTCCGGGGTATGGTATGGGAGACTCACGGCCCAAAGGGTACCTACCTACCTACCTACCTACCTAAAGGGTGGGGGGGTATGGTCCTGACCGCCCAAGGCTAGCCCTCGACAGGGGTGGGGGGGTATGGTCCCTCGGCCCCTCCCTCTACTGCCGCCGCCGAGCCCGCAGCGCCATGAGGTAGGAACAGGCGCCCGTGTCGCAGAGCTGCTGCAGCTGCTCCACACTCCACTCGCCGACACCCTTCTGGTTGCGGAGCGCCTCAATGTCGCGCGAATCAACATAGCCGTCGCTCAAGGCAAGATCTCGAACGCCAGCCGTCCAAGTTGGTTGACCTTTGTGTTGTGCGGCGACGAACAGCCGAACAGGATCTCTCCACGCCGAGGACACAACGGAGGCCAACTACATGCGCTTCGCCACCAAGACCGCCTCGATGGCTATCTCGCCGCTTCACCACGTCTTCGTCAACGGCATCGAGACCGACCCCTCGCACGTCAAGCTGGGTGACTTGCTCCGCACGCCGCACGGCCTCGAGCCGGTGACGCGCATCGAACCATCGATAGCATCGAGGCGCGCGGGGCGTACCACGTCTTCGTCAAGGGCGGCTCGTACTACGTGGACAGCATCCTCGCCTCCGACTACTTCGGCCTTGTGCCACACATGGCATGGCCGCTTGTGCGCGCCTACGTCGAGGCGCGCTATCGCATCGGGGTGCCCGTCATCCCAATCGGACGCGGCTTCTTTCCCAGCCACATCTGGGCGTTCGATATCCTCTCCCGACTCGGCGCGCCGTTACCTGTGCATCACGCCCTCTCCCCCATCACCATCGCCTCGAGCATTGCAACCGAGCTCGCCAACGTTGCCATCGAGCACCGCACAGCGCTGCTCGGGGAGCGGCAGCAATGGCGGCGGCCGTCACCAAGACGGCCCGCAAGCTTGCGTAACTCGCGCCTCGCGCAAGCGCCCCTCGCGCAAGCAAC